AACTATAAAACAATGCGTTTCAGAGTGAGCGATCTAGGGTACAATAGAACAAGTCTATGGGTAAACTATAAAACAATGCGTTTCAGAGTGAGCGATCTAGGGTACAATAGTACAAGTCTATGGGTAAACTATAAAACAATGCGTTTCAGAGTGAGCGATCTAGGGTACAATAGTACAAGTCTATGGGTAAACTATAAATAAACTACAGAAGCAGGGACAATTTTACTTACTTGGTCTCTGGGATTTTTCTACAGGTGTCGTACACCATGTGCAGGAATTCCCGTTCTATATCATGTAAGCCTAGAATGTTCTGAAAGTAGAAAATAATGGGATTGACTAACTGTACTATATCATTTTTATATGAGTTTTACGGCGCTCGCAACTGCATAAGGTCATATGAGTGCTGTTCTATATCATGAAAGCCTAAAATGTTCTGAAAGTATAAAATAATGGGAATGACTGACAGTAGATACACATGCAATCAGAAGACCTAATGCGATGTTGTGGCTCATTTCAAGCTACCATAAAGAGAAACACAAATTTGCATATTGATTTATAATATTTCATGTATCACCACCATGAAAACAGGCTCTCGTCAAAATGGTGCAGAGGTCGAAGTAGTTGAAGGTATTTCCGAACGTTGAGCGCTCAATTCGATTTTAATCTATTAATTTTGGTTTAAAAACTTCTTAGCCAATTAAAAACATATTTCTAAAACTGCGTGGATTCTACTGCAAAAGAAAACAACAGCAACAACAACAATATCAACAACAACAACAACGACAGCACCAATTACACTACCATTATCACCAGCACCAACACCACTACCATCAAAATTTCAACAACATTTTAACAACAACAACAACAACAACAAGAAAATAAATTCAAGCAAATAATAATAACACCATCGCCACCACCAACAATTTAACAATAACAACAACAACAACAACAGCAACAACATTACTCTATCTACCAACAACGAAAAAAAAATAATAACAGCAAAATGAACAGGTAAACCAGACCACCACCACCAACTACAACACCACTATCACCACTACAACCACCACCACCAACAACAACAACTACAACAACACCACTATCACCGCCACCAACGACTACAACAACACCACCCCAACAACAACAACTGCAACAACACCACCATCACCAACAACAACTACAACACCACCACCACAAACAACAACAACACCACCATAACAACAACCAACAACAGTTTCACAAAGGCTACCACTGACCTTGACCTGCCCCAATGCTATAGTAATGGCGGCAGCAGAAGTGAAAGCGTTGATCACCGGGTAGGAGATATAGTTCACCAGGATACCTAGAAACAAAGGGTAAAAAAAGTATTGGCATCATGAAGTCACACGTGACACATGCTACATAATAATAATGATGATAATGATGATAAGCATGATAATAATAATAATAATAATAATAATAATCATAACAATAATATTAATGATGATGATGATGATGATAATGATTAATAAATACTGCTACTATTACTGCTACTAGTAATATAATAATAATAATAATAATAATAATAATAATAATAATAGTAATATAAATGATAGTGACGATGATAATAATAATTTAAAAATATAATAATAACAAAATAATAATGATAATAATTGATAAATACTACTACTGCTGCTAATAATAATAATAATATAATAGCATTTGTACAGCGCATAGCTCCGCTCGAGAGCTAGCTCTATGCGCTTTACACTATAATATGTGTTACGACGGGGTGGAATCAGGCGCTCGTCATTTTTTGGGCATGTAGAGTTATTAATATGACCACAAAGCTTATTCATTTGATGAAAAAAAAATACTCATCTATCTTAAAGAAGTTGAAATATTCGTGGATGAAGGAAGTTGGGTACATACGTTAGGAAACGGCAATAGCTTGAGAGCCCTTGGAAAATGAAAACTTACATATTTTGTGCCTTTAATCAATATTCTTGAGTAAAATTCACTTGGGAATGTGTTTTTATATGGACATCAAAGGTGTTGCACCAAAAAACCCAAAAATTTTACCAAAGTGCCTGTTTCTTCAGTTCCAATATTTTGACGTGCACCTGATTAGACAACGATGCCTCACATATTATTGCCCCAACAGACTCAGAAACATTCTCTATTATACAACCATTACTATCACTCTGCTATGACGCTACAAACAGACCTACACACGCACACACACACACACACACGCACACGCACACACACAAACACACTTACACACATACATACACACACGCATACGAACATACACAAACAAAGACACACACACACACACAAATAAACACACTTACACACACACATACATCCATAAACTGTTCAAACTCACCTAATTTGAGTATGCCCATGACAAGCTGCACGAGCCCTGAGATGAGGGTGAGCACAATAGCCAGAGTGGGGTCGTTCTTCGGCGCCGTCGGGTCATTCTCCGCGAAGTTAGCGAAGGTGGCGGTCATGAGTGACATGATGGCCGTGGGGCCAAGGGTGATGTCCTTGGAGGTACCCATCAGCGTGTACACGAAGCAGCCCATGAAGGCTGAGTAGAGGCCATACTGGGAGAGGGAAAATACATGCACAACACCATTTAGCTTCAGTAAGAGTTTTAAGGCACTTGCAACACAATAAGGTCATATTATGATTGCCCGCAGATTATAGGTGTTACACGAGAGTGGCAAACACAAAAAAGAAGGAGGAGAGATCAGAAACGCTATTTATTGTTATTTTTGATAATATAACTATTATTATATTCATTATTATTATAATTATTCATAATAATAATAATAATAATAATAATAATAATAATACTTCTTCTTCTTTTTCTTCTTCCTTTTCCTCTTCTTCTTCTTCTTTTTCTTCTCCTTCTTCTTCTTCTCCTCCTCCTCCTCCTTCTCCTCCTCCTCCTCCTCCTCCTCCTCCTCCGCCTCTTCTTCTTCTTCTTCTTCTTCTTCTTCTTCTTCTTCTTCTTCTTCTTCTTCTTCTTCTTCTTCTTCTTCTTCTTATCATACTTATTATTATTATTATTTATATTATTATCATCTTCTTCTTCTTTATTATTATTATTATTATTATTATTATTATTATTATTATTATTATTATTATTACCATTATTATTATCATTATTGATCATGTCTCACCTGAGCCGGTAGACCCGCGATCTGGGCGTAGGCCAAGCCCTGTGGGATGACCGTCAGGCCAACAGTCAGACCAGCGATCAGATCGGCCTGGAACGTGTCACACCTGGTGGAAGACAGGTTCAGAGGTCAGTTACTTTAGTTTTGGTAAGTGTTTTATAGCAGTTGAAACACAATAAGGTCATATGAGTGTCGAAGATTAGAATAATTGCAAGAGAGCAACAAATAAAAAAAAAAAAGAAGGAGGGGAGATAAGGACGATATATGTTTGATAGGAAAGAAGAAGCAAACCACACACCAGAGCACCCGCCAACCACCCACGTTCAGAGGTCAAAGATCTGTTTGTGAAAACAGAGTAAAACTCCATTGAAGATAATTAATTTAATAAGCGGGCGTCGACAGGATCCTGCTTGTCATGGCCAACCCTGGTTTAGAGGTGATGCAAGAGAGAACAAAGCATCATACAGTCATATTAAAGCACAGAAGGTTAGAAACAGGGTCAGAGATTGTAAGGGGGGGGGGGGAGGATAGAAAAACATGTCTTCCAGACAGGACCAGAAAAGAAATCCTGGTGCCGCTTTAAGAGCTCACCATATCAGATCACTGTGCACCTACCATCCCTATCCTCCTCTTCGGCCTCTTTCTTTTTTTATAATTATCAGCAACATACAACTGAAGATTGAGTTGTAACCACCAGAACAATTTAAGCTCCCCTCCCCCTTTCAACAAATCAAATCAAAACAAAATGAAACAAAAACAAACAAACAAACAAACAAACAAAACAAGCAAACAACAAAACAACCCAGCAACAGAACCCAACAACACAAAACGAGTACCAAAACAACAACAACAACAACAACACAAAAACCATACCAACAAACAAACAAACAAGCAAACAAACCTGTATTTTGGGATCCACTTGACGATGGGGAACTTTCCTAGGGCATTCTGCAAGGTGAAGGTGTTCCGGCAGCAGTCCTTGACCTGTGACCCCACGCTGACCCCACCGCCCATGGGGCCGCCTTCTACGTCACTGCGGCCATGACGCTGGACGTTTCCTCTCTGACCGTTCTCTGCAGGCTGCAGGAAGACAGACAGACAGACAGACACATGACGTCATTGCACATTGTAGACAGTTGAGCTTTGTCTCAGGAACTCTATAAACCAGTAACAAGACTCGTTTATGGTGTTATGCCTGGGCTCTTTGTTATTTTTTATTCTATTTAAAACAATTAACGTAGATTTTTTTTACGCCCCCATCAAAACAATTCAGATCTGCCTAGGCTGAGAAGGATACAACATCCTATAAGAAAAACAGACACTCAATAAAAATGGCCCCGAAACGGTAATCGAACTCAGGTCTTTTGCGTGAGATCACGAAGCGCATATCAGAGGCTGAATCAGCCTATGGATTTCATTTCAACTTAAAGCAGGACGGAGGGTTTAAGAAACCTAAATCTCTGGTATTCTTTCTTAAGGGGTCAGCCATTAAAAAACATCTCTGCAGTCTTCATCTGCCATGATAACGAATAAGGGTAATGCCTTCTGCCTTTCCACAGAAAGACAACGAGGTGTATGTAACTTGCCAGAGATCCTCAGCTTAATGTTATACGGGACTTCTAACTCCTGAGCCTGCAAAGTCCGTTCGGATTTTCTTTGTTAATAAGAAAAAACAAACAAACAACAACAACAAAACCCCAAGAAAGTTAAAATGGGACTATTTCGCTCGAGAAGAAAAACAAACAGACGTCACCATGTCAAAGCGACTATTTGATGAACATGATGTCAAAGCGACTATTTAATGAACACGTACTTTACAGCAAAATGGAGTAAAAACATAAACCTCTATCAAGGAAACCAATCAAGTTCCCAGATTCTAGAAACCTAGTTCGAGTACAGAAATTTTCTAGGGCTTTCTCGTGTCTGTCAAGAGTCAAGTAACAGTCATCAGAAACCAAGAAAATGTTTGATTTTAGAGCTACAAAACAATGGGTGACACAGGGTGTGTGTGTGGGGGGGTGGGGGGGGGTATGAAGGGGCAATGTCACTGAGGTATTAAACCAGTTCCTGGATATCTTGTTAAAAAATAATGAAATAAAACCTATACCCTAACAACTTGGCAGAGTGTAGGCACATATTTTCAGTCCTGGACACTATGAAAGAAAATCCCACGGCTTTTTAAATAAATAATATTACCAAATTCCATCGACAAATAGAACTTCATCCACGGTAACGTCACCAACACAAAAAAACTAATAGAATACAGGAGACTTACAAGCATCAATGCCTCACACTGAAAATCCATGAATAGAAAACTCGAAAGACAAATATTAAAAATACAATAACAACTCAACATTTCAATTTTTTTTTAAATGTGACGTATGCAATTAAGACAGGTTCACACACACACAAAGAACATCGTTTATTTGATAGCAGAGTAACGAGTATCACATTGAACAAAGTACTGCCATTTACTGAAAGTCAAAAGTAAGACACACAAACAGAAACAGCGGAAGAAAAGAAACGAAGTGACCCATTCCAACCACCGGCAACACAAATTTACAACGACGGTGTCCGTCACTGGACAACTGACACCCGGATGAGATAATTAATTGAAATTATAGTCTTCATTGCGAAACTCAATACCTCATCATTAATACATCTGCCACAGACAGACCTACACCTTAATGAACGTATCACCCTCTGCCTTCCCAACGCACGAGAGGACTAGGGCAGACAATGCTAATTATCTTACAGGAATAAGGGCAGGGACCAGTGTGTGTGTGTATGTGTGTGTGTG